CCTATGACACAAAGTTGTCTCAAAGCAAATCTACCAAGCCATTGTGCTTTGACCCATAGCGGTCACAAATACAAACCAAACAAACCGAGTCATTGTACTCGGTGGCCATTGCGCCAAATGACCCGTTGTGGTCACAAAGCAAATAAACCGAGTCATTCTGCTCGATGGCCATTGCGCCAAATGAAAAGTGACAAAAGTCAAATGGTTACCGGGCTGATAAGTGGTGATTGTAGTTCACAAGATCATGATAAGGCTTTGACAAGTTATTCTTCTGAGAAAATTGAAAATCATAGTGTAACTATTTCTGAAAATGTTGAAGTTCGTAAGAAAAGAGTGAATTGTCAGAGGAAAAGGGACAGGGAACCATCTCACGTTCCTGTTAAAATAATTCTAAAGGCACTAAGTAATACGAAGTCTAGGAATAGAATCAAGTCTTTTGTAAGACAACATCTTCCAGACAGTTCTTTTATCACTAATTTATGTAGAAATTACAACACCTGGAAATTCTGGTATACCAATGATCATTATTATAGTAAATTTGTTTTTTACATGAACATACAGAAAAGAAAATTTACAACAACAGATAACTATTCTACATGTAACTGTAGACAAACACATATCCGTGTGGCAGATTTAATGAATTCTGGTGGAAAAAGCTTTCCTCAAACTCATAATGATAATTCAAAATTAAATGGAGGTATGTCTCCTGAGAATGCTGTTAGTCATGATTTACCATGGGATTGTTTAACTGAAAGGCTTCGTCTCATAGGACTTATACCACATGATGTAGGTGGATTTGGAGATTGTTTCTTTAAATCAGTTTCACACCAACTGTATAGGACTGCTGACTTGCATCGTGAAATTCGTATGGCTGGAATTGGCCATTTACAGAGTTACCCAGAATTGTATATTGAAAGCATTTCTAATGATCACTGGAATAACTATATTCAACAAATGTCAAAACAAGGCACATGGTGTGATAACATCATAATGCAAGCTGTGGCCAATGCATACAACTGTGTCATTCATATCACACAGTCTAATATAAATTCACCTGAAAGTACAATCTTAACTCCTGTTGCTGATCAGGATGGACGAAAGACAATATTTATTGGATATATTAACGAGTTGCATTATGTTTCAACATTGACTGACAAAAACAGTAGATATAAAAACAAACTCACATGCATAAAGAGAAAATTATCAGAAACCAATGAAAACAGACATGGTAGACTTCTTAAGCACAGAAATTACATGAAAAGAGTCAAATATACAGAAACAGCTAATGAAAGGGCAAGCAGACTTGAAGATAAGAGAGGCACTTATAGAAAAACAATGTCTGAAGAAACTGCTGAAAAGCGAAAAGAGAGACTTAAAACTAAGAGAGACACTTATAGAAAAAGAGTGTCTGAAGAAACTGTTGAAAAGCAAAAAGAGAGACTAAAAAGTTACAAAGACTCTTATAGAAAAAGAACGTCTGAAGAAAATGTTGAAAAGCGAAAAGAGAGACTTGCAAATAGGAGAGCCAGTTATAAAAGGTCTCAAACAATTTCTGCAGGACAAAAAGAGAGCTGTGCTGGTCCAGTTCACGAACAAAAACATGCACAAAATAACATGAACGATTTTCATAAGTCCAATCAGTATTCAGTTTGCCAATGCACTGTCTGTTTTGAAGCATGGCCATTGAAATCCAGTCCAAGGAAGGTTGATCACTACCAGTGTCAGAGGTGCATACGAGATAAACAACAACCAAAAAAGTTTTCTAAGGAAAATGACATGGTGCCATCATTAGTACCTTTACAACTGCAGGGGCTAACCCAAGTAGAAGAAATGCTTATTGCACGTGCACTTCCTGTTATGCGAGTTTACATAAAACCTGGTGGACAAAGGGGCTATTCAGGCCACTGTATCAATTTGCCTCAGGATATAGCTGAACTAGCACATTCTCTGCCTAGATACCCAAAAGATCTATCTGTTATTGTTGTTAAGATGAAAGGTAAAGAGAACAGTTTTAAAGATGTGACAGTGCGAAGGCAAAATGTAGCTGATGCACTACAATGGCTTGTTAATAATAACTCACACTACAAGGACATAACCATCAATCAAAATTCTTTAAATTCTTTACCAGAACATGGTGTTCCACATGGTCTTCTCTCGGTTGAAACAGAGAATATAGATTTGGATGCCACATGTGAACCTGACTTAGGTCCTCAAAATGAAGATGACATTGTTTATAATGAGGGTACTGAAATGAGTAGTTTTCTGCCTATTCCAGAGTGTCAGCAGCAAGAAATAGAAGCTGTGCGCCAACAATTGTCTAATGATTCTAATCACTTGCCCTGGCCAACAGTTGGCAGTGAACCATTAAACGAGTATGTAACTCCCTATTTAGCAACAATGGCTTTCCCAACATTATTTCCAGATGGTAAGGGTGATCCTACTAACCCATCATTACGCCGAGATATACCACTCGGAGAAAGAGTAAAGCACCTTTTAAAGTTTGGAGAAAACAAGAATGACAAATGGGTATATCGCTTTGCTACTCACCCCAGATTTGGTTACTGGGCATTGAATATGATACAAAGAAAACGTATTCTGCAACAGACAGGCATGTTCCTAAAACAAAACCCAGGAGAAGCTCATTTGACTGCTGAGGAGCTGCGGCAAATGGCAACTAGCAATAACACAAGTATGTTTATATCTAAGATATCACGCTATCTTAGTAACATTACTGGTTCTAATGCTTATTGGCACAAAGCTAAAGAAGATTTAAAAGCAATAATAGCCCATGCTGGAGCTCCAACATTCTTTTTCACATTCTCCTCTGCTGATATGCATTGGCCTGAACTTCATGCAATTTTTGGCAACTCAGTCAGTATTAATTCAACTGAGAACAAACGGCAGAATGTCATTAACAATCCTCATATTACAGACTGGTTCTTTACACAGCGTTTAGAAAGTTTTATTAAATACTGGTTATACAATTCACTAGATGCTGAGTGGCACTGGTACAGATTTGAATATCAAGCTAGAGGTAGTATACATTGTCATGGTGTAGCAAAGCTGAAAAATGATCCAGGTTTATGTAAACTCTCAGAAACAGCTCTAAAAGGCTATTTGGCTGAAATGTCCACTAATACAGCTGAGCAAGTCAATATACTAGAACTCAATCAACAGATAGTGGATGGGAAAAAGGCTTCTCAGGTAGTTTGTCAGTATGTAGATTGGTTATTGTCTACATATAATCCAGATCCACCAGATAATGGCACATGGGTGAAGCCCTCTATTCATCCTTGTCAAAAGCGTCACAAGGACCTTGTAAGTTTACAAGACTCTGAACAAGATTATGTTGATTTGTTGAATACTGTACAAAGGCACACTCGCTGTAGTACAAACTATTGTCTTAGAAAGAAACAAAACGAAACAGAACTGAAATGTAGATTTAAGTTTCCATTTCAACCTTGTGTTAATACAAAACTAGAGTTTGAGCCCATTCATACAAAAGATCGAAGCACTCAATACAAAGCAAAGATCATAACAAAGAGGAATGATAGCAGACTCAATAATCACCAACGACTTCAGCTTCAAGGCTGGAGGGCAAACTGTGATATTCAAGTAATCATTGATTATCATGCATGTGTTGAATACCTTGCAAAATATGCTTCAAAAGGTGAACCAAAGTCACCTGTAATGAAACTTGCATTTAATTCTATTGTCCGTAATTGCAACAACAATAGCAACCCTACAAAATTGATAAAAAAAGTGATAATGAAATCACTTGGCCAACGTGACTTCTCTGCACAAGAGACTATGCATCATCTCATGTCACTGAAACTTGTCAGCTCATCATTTAATGTGGTACCTATTAGTCTAAATGGTTCACGTAGAATCAAAACTATAACAAATGATGGAGATACTGTAACCAATGACTCATTGCTTGATACTTACGCTAAAAGGGAAAAATATATTCAAACCATCCCAGATATAATGGCTCTTAATTTCATTCATTTTGCAACAAAATACAAACTTGTCAACAACAAACTAACAGTTCAGCCTCATAACATGATTCCCAGAGTTTTTCCAGTATTTTCTTCCAATTCAAAAGGTCCAAATTTTGGACTTTATTGCAAATATCAGTTACTTAAGCACAAACCTTGGCATACTACACAAGACAATGCCTGGGATTGTCAGGAAGGCACTGATGAAATATACATCACAAAATGGAAGGAATTTCTACAAACACCATATGCTGAAGAGCATGTTCCTGACTGGTATGAAAAACTACAAAGTGTACAGAATAACACAGAAGAGGAACCAAATATAGAGCACTCTTCAGAAGAGCTTCCACAGCGTGAAGAGTGGATGGATTTAGCAGATCTCATACCTGGGTATTTTGTTAACCAAGATAATATAACACAACAAACCTCTCAGCCTGATTATGACTGGCAAAATGACAAGATTAAGTATGCAAATCACTTAATACAGGAAATGCCATCCTGGGTAAAAACTAAGAAAGATACTTTGGATTCTACCTTTGGTTTGCAACAACAAAATATTGATGTTAATACATTCAGTGACATGCAAAGACATGCCTACAATATGGTGAAAGCACATTCTGAACAAGCCTGCCCTAAAGATCCATTGCTTCTTATTATACTTGGAGTTGCCGGTACAGGGAAAAGTTACCTCATTAATGCCATCCGAAACCTGCTCCAACACTCTTGTGCAGTGACTGCCACAACTGGCAAAGCTTCATTTAACATAAACGGATGTACAATCCATTCACTATTAAAATTGCCTGTTGGCCCAAGACATAACAAAGAATTAACAGGACAAGGGCTTGTCACATTACAAACCAAGCTGAAAGATATCAGTTATATCCTAATTGATGAATACTCTATGCTAGGACAAACATTGTTTGGCTGGATTGATAGACGCTGCCGACAAGCAACAGGCAAAAATGACAAAGTATTTGGTGGTAAATCCATGATATTAGTTGGTGACCCAGCTCAATTGCCTCCAGTGGCAGATAAGCCATTATATCATTCGAGACCCTCCAGTTCTACAGGTGAACAAGGCTATTTAGCTTATCACATGTTTGGCAATGTTGTAAAACTGTCAGTAAACCAGAGGGTTCAAGGCTTAAATCAACAGCAAGCTCAGTTTAGAGATTTACTCATACGCCTTCGCACAGGAGATTCTAATGAGCAAGATTGGAAACTTCTTTTGGCAAGACAGCCTTCCATAGCATTGAACGTGAATGAGTTTCAAGATGCCACTAGGCTCTATTTCAGCAATGAAGAAGTTGCTAATTATAACTTTGAAAAGTTATCAGAACTTCATCAGCCAATAGCCTGCATCACTGCACGTCACTCTAGTGATATAGCTAAGAAAGCAAGTTCAGATGACATGTCAGGTTTACAACCGACCATTTTCCTTGCAAAAGGTGCACATGTAATGCTTACCATGAACCTATGGATAGATGTTGGACTTTGTAACGGTGCAACTGGAACGGTTGAAGATTTCATTTATGCAAACAACCAGCAACCACCAGACTTGCCTGTCGCTGTCATAGTAAAATTTAATGAGTATAGAGGTCCATCTATCAGTGATAGCATTCCACGATGTGTGCCTATATGCCCAATAACAATAACCTCACAGACACTAGATGGTTTACATGAGAGACAACAGTTGCCTCTCAAACTTGCTTGGGCAATCACAATACACAAGAGCCAAGGGTTAACACTGCCAAAAGCATGGATTGACATTGGTCAGACTGAAACTACTGCAGGCATTTCATATGTAGCTATAAGCAGAGTGAAAACACTTTCATCTTGTATTATTGAACCAATGACTTTTGAAAGACTTAAGAGTCTTAAGAAATCCACTAATTTAAAATATAGACTTGAAGAAGAAAGCAGGCTATATAATCTAGCAAATATAAATTGATCCCAAGTTGAGTGATGCGAACAAAGTCACTCACAACAGTACAGCACCCAAAATTGATTAATTAGAATAAATTGATTATACGGCCTTCAACACATGCATACATAAATGATTTTTTTTATGGTTATAAATAGTTCACTTTCCAACTACATTTAAAGCAAAGTTCCATGTAATGTTTCAGAGTGTTGTATTAACTAGGGTTTAAAGGTATTTTAAACACCCTCCTAAAACATCTGTATACATCCTTATTTTTTTTTTTTTTTTCAACAGACAAGACAGAGATCTAATATGGCTTCAGGTATGTATCTCCCGGTCATACTTAAATATTATGGTTATACGTTCCTTTCTTCTATTAAACTAATGCTTCTTGTTTTAAAATCATTTTATAACCTTACCTGCTCTATATGCTCTCATTAATAAAACATGTTATTTTGAACATCTAGGTATTAGATGTACACTGTTTCCTATCACTTTTGTCACCCTTTAATGTTCTCATGTAGTTATATGATACAATTTATTTTTCCCACACCTCTTGCATGTTGATGGCAAACTTTGGCCAAAATATCCCTGTTTTGTACTAAAAATAATCTTAATTACAGTAATTAATGAGTGGTGAACTGCTCCTGTTTTGCTAAATTTTAACACTTCCCCTTCTATTAAGCCCTTCCTTTCTATTTAGCCCCCCCCCCCCCCCAATGCGCCTTAAAACAATAAGCCCCCTGTGGGCTTAATAGAGGATTTACAGTACATGAAACAAGGAGACTAATATTTACACATATGTTTTTTTCAAATAACACAAGCTACCTTATGCAGTAATCCCATCCATGCCAAATTTATTACATTAATCTAAATATCTTTTTACCTCCTCCTACAGAAAAACAAGACATAACTTGCTTTGTGCATAATGTCTCACCAGTAAAAAAATCTGGACCAACAAACTACTTTAACTGCCACCTTCAGACAGAGAAAGATCTCATTGGCAGTGTATGCTTTGCAACTGAAAAGAAGGAAACTCTTGATGCAATGGCCACACAAAGATCACCGGTTAAAATTTCAAATTTTAACATCAGCAATAAGTATGGACGAAGTGATGTAGTAATAAACAGGAACACAACCATCACTTCAACAACAGCTGATTTTCCTTACAAAGCACAAGATGATGTCACATCAATTGCATCCTTGTCAAAAGTAGCACCACAACAGCTAGTGTCAATAAAAGGAAAGATATCACATCTAAGTGCGACCAAAACTATAGTCATCCAAGATTCTCCTGTCAAAAAACAGGAAGGCTATATAGTTGATCCATCTGGTTACATAAAAGTTATTTTCTGGGGTGAGCATGTTGACAGCGTCACACCACAGTCCACCTATTTCTTCAACAACTTGAGAATGAAAGTATCTCAGAATCAAAGATACTTGAACACACCAAAACAAGATAATTTATACACCATCAAGGACGCTGAACCCTTCAAACAAACATTACCTGAAGTCAATGACATCTCAACAACAACAGAAACCATTGGAGAAATACTAGGAATAAGCAGTGTCACCAAATACAACTGTTGTTGTTCATGTTCAAAAAAAGTTACAATCAAGGGAAAAATTGCAGTCTGCGATAACTGCAAAGTAACACAAAAGGCAACCAGCTGCAGTGTAAAGTGGACACTCAAGATCCATATCCAAAACTCCAAACAACCACTGCAGAAGCTTCAGCTACAGGTTTATCAAGAAGCAGTGTCAAAGTTGTTTTCAATTTGTCACTTAATTGCAAATGAAACAACAGAGGAGGAAATCACAGAGGCTGTCTTAAACCTAGACACAGTTAAAGTATGCTTTGACACGCAAACGCGAAAACTTGTGGACATTGAAAAAATTGCCATTTAACATGTTTTGTTGCATTTTCCTTTGTAACAAACCAATCTCTAGTAACTATTTAAGTTACTAATAATTCATGCTATGAGATACAAACACTAAAACTTTTAGATATCACAAAAACTTTTATAGCACTTCATTTTTGAATTTCATATTAAACTTTCTTGAAACTATTCCATTTACTATTATTCACGTTACTGTTAGAAAAATTAGTCTCGCTCATTTAGTATCTAAACTACATTGTAAATGAGTAGATTCTCATGTTTTAATTATTGCATTTTACCTTGTGACTAATCGAGTTAGTATCATCCAGGGCCCAGTTGTTCAAAAGACGATTACTGCTAACCCACGATTAAAGCTTAATCAAAGATTTAATCTCTTTTGTTTAAAAAGATTTCAAAAGCTAATTATAAGCTGCACATGAAGTCAAATCCAAAAATAAAACTAAAGAGCAAGAATCCTTAAGAAAATCTCTTTTGGTTATTAATTTAACTGGAATAAAATTTGACGCTAACCCTGGGTTTGCTTAATCGCGCTTTGAACAACCCGGCCCTGGTTACTGTTAAGATAACAAAAAATAGTTAAACAATGCTGACACACAAACACGAAATATTTAGACATGGAAAAAAATCTAAGTTTCATAGCATTTTGAACTTCATCACAGCTTCATGTTCCAGTTGTTGTTATAAAATTTAGTCTATCTCTTTCAGTTTTTCAAGATACTAAGTAGATTGACATGTTTTTTTACATTTTCTCTTGCAACTAACCAATCCCATGCAACTATTCAAGTTACTATTCATGTTACTATTAAAATTTTTTTGTTAAACTATGGTATGACATGCAAACACCAGAACTTTTAAACATTGCAAAAAGTTTCATAGCATTACCAACTTCATAACTTTCTTGAAACTATTCAATTTACTATTATTCATGTTACCGTTACAAAAATTAGTCTCACTCATTTAGTATCTGAACTACATTGTAAATGAGTAGATTGACATGTTCTAATTACTGCATTTTACCTTGTGACTAATCGAGTTAGTATCATCCAGGTTACTGTTAAGTTAAGAAAAATTGTTAAACAATGCTATGACACACAGACACGAAACGTTTAGACATGGAAAAATCTAATTTTCATAGCATTTTGAACTTCATCATAGCCTCATGTTGTTGTTATAAAATCTACTCTATCATTTTCAGTTTTTCAAGATACTGAGTAGACTAACATGTTTTGTTACATTTTCCCTTGCAACTAACCAATCCCTTGTAACTATTCAAGTTACTATCATTCATGTTACTGTTACAAAAGTTAGTCTCCCACAATCAGTATCTAAACTACATTGTAACTAAGTAGATAAACATCTTTGGTTACATATTTGCGTTTCACTATTAAAGTTGCTATTGTTCATGTTGCTCTTTAAATACTTCGTCTTTCTCATTTAATCTCTCAACTAATTTCCTCCTCTGTTTTTGTATGATTTTAGCTAAATTCATTGAACTTCTAACGCACTTATTAATCTTTGATTACTACTAGTTATAAGAATAATTAATTACTATTTTCTGGACAATACACTACTTAAACTTAGTATGAGATACAAGAAAGTTGTCGTTGTTGCTGCTCCCCTGTTCTCTTTTAAGAATTCATTTGTTAGCTTCATAGCATACTACTAAGACAGAGTTTAGACCAGCCTGCAGAGCACTGTGGTTCACCTTTTTAGATCAGTTAAAATTATTTTTGTTTTGTCCTATTTGTAGGTTTTAATCTTATGACAACTAAGACCAGGTGGCAATAAAAAATTACAATAAATTATTGCTAAAACCATTAACATACATTTTGAAAAGGCTACAAAGAGCTACTCCACAACATTTCTATAAGACCATTTTCATTAAAATCATTTTAAAGCAAGAAAACCTTGGAGCTTTACCACAAACAATTGTCTACTGATTGTGGAATCTTAGTACAGTACCACAATTTGTACTGTAGTATATGAAGACCCACTGCTGCTCTTTCAATGCAGACAAAGCTGCAAGAAAGAGTTTACGTAGAGCACAGTCAATTACACTACAAAATAACTTCCGTCTTATATAATACACAGTAAAGAACAATGGAGCTGTTATTTTTTTAACAACGATTTGTCTAACTTGGTAATATAACATGCCTCCTCAAACTAGAAAAAATACATCACTTACCCTTGGTCTCAGTTTTTTCCCAGGATTTTCCTCTTGTTTGTTAGTTTAATTCACAATATTGACTACTTCTTCACACCATCCACTATCCTGGAGAAGCTCTTTCACGACAGACATGGAACTTGCCAAGGATAAAAGCACTTGTACACCTAGAGTCCAAAGTTCTGAAATGTCATCCCAGAAACCTCTACACTGGGTGGCAAACTCAGTCTTTTTATCACCTTGGTCTCCCTGTGTTTTGCCAGTAGTAGGGTGTCTTGCCTCCTTCAAGATTTGAATGGAGTTTTTAAGGAAATCTGATACCTCTTTATGATCAAACAGTGCTATTTTTCCTCCATCTTTGTGGCACTTCACAAACAGAAGACCAAGGACCACAAGATTCACTGAAATAGTGACATTTACATCTCCGGAGAGAAACTGCAAAGAAGACACCAGAGCGTGTTTGCCAATCTCCTTGAGAGCTTCAACTTTTGTTGCAAGTTCTGGTTCTGTCACAAGGATGTTCAAGAAAATACCAAGCATGGTGACGAGACACATCTCAGACTCATCATCAACAGTGATGTTTTCTGTTTGTTTATGCCAAATGTTCCAATGATGAAAAAAGTACTTAGATAGCAGTTCAAGACCTTCCTTTTCAATGAGGATCTTGCGCATTTTATCATTGGCAGAGAGGTGACACAAGGGTGGTAGCATGAAACGCACAATGTCACATTCATTTTCTGAATGATGCCGCATCAAATTCCCCAGATCTGGTGAACTAGCACTTCTCTCTGTTGAGCTTGAAATAGCATCCTTCCTGTCATCTCGAATCAACAGCTTAAATTCTATAAAGAAATATATTCTTCATTAACTGTAAACTAAAAAAAGGCATTTTATCTTTTACTAATCTCTTGATCAAATTACCACAGTGGAACCTCAATTTAACAAATCCCTTGATGATTAAGTCCTCACCATAACAAACAATACTTCAGTTTCAGCCAACCAACAGTTACAGTAAAATGTGCGCCATAGAACCTTGCGATAACAAATCCCTGATATAACAAACCTTGGCACTTCAATAAATCCAGGTTCCACTGTAACACCATTAACTCCTGAGATTTGAAAAGAAACTCTTTTTATTGATGCCCACACATTCCTTGGCAATTAGTCCTTATTGCTGCCCATACATTCCTTGGCAATAAGTCCTGAGAATAGACCTCTTCAGCAGGTATTTTTTGTTTACCAATTTCAGTTCATGTAACAATACCAAGGCATGACCCAGTATTTTTAAGAAGGCCAATGCCATGCACAATTTTTAAGGAAAACCTTACAAGATTCTTAATAGACAGATACTTTAAATGATGGATAAAACTTTATATATACGCCGTTTTAGATCTGTGACAATTGTATTTCTTATTTTAGCTTTCAATACTTTTTATTTTTACAGAGGACCTCCCTGAAAACCATGTATTTACGTGACGGGCGCTTCCTCCTTAAAGATTGTTTGTCATTATTATATTATTATTATTATAACTTTTCAACTTACAAGCCAAGTGGCTAGTGACCTCTTAGTTATGACAATTTCAGTTTGTTTACTAGCCAAACTGGCTAGTGGAAATCAAAACCACTTGCCAAAACTGAATTTCTACTAATCTGTGGCTTGTGGGCTACTATTAAGTGTCGAGCCCTAACAATACTCTAGCCAGCTGTTCCTTTCAACTTTTGTTTACTATGCTTACCTGTGCACCTTAACGAGATGAAATTTGAAACAAACAGTCCTCTGGAGTGTAATCACAGGGGTTGAAATGGGTAAATAAAACATGCAAACTTGAGAGGTCTCATTAGCTTTCAATCCAAACAATAAAAGTTGGTCATTCAATTCCTCACTACTGAAATTTTGTCAATAAATTTCTTTGCAAAGCATTCATTTGAACAAAAGTGAGAAAAATTATCTCAGATGGGACTACTTTTGGCTACAACAATAATTCTAAACTTTTTGATTGATATTTACCAAATTCAAAGCTGTTTTGAAGCTGGACAACCTCATTGGAATGCTGGGGAAAAAGAACCTAATTCAACCAAAAACTAAAAAACACCTTTTGTTACTCCTTTGAAGGATAAAACTGAAGGACAGCTACAAGCTTGTCTGGATATTTAGTGAGTTGGTCACACCCCAAGATTCCAGATTGAACCATGTCGTGTTAATTGGACACATTTTAAGTAGCCAAACGTTGAAAATTACTAACCATCGGTTAACGGGTTACTGTTGTTTCGAGCCCTGACGTGGGGAGAGAAAAAAAAAAC